CAATATTTATGATTTATCATCCAGAAGTAAATAGACATCATGCTATGGACCAAAAGGTGGATTTAACCATATCTGGATACCTGGGTGAAGATTAGTGCGACCCTCAAAATAACTGATATTAAGAAACAAACTGTCTTATTATTGAAAATAGAGACATATGCTTACCAGTTGTTGCTAAATCAATTATAAGTTACTTTGCCCAGTCAAATTTCTTTTATCTATTAACGTTCTCATTTTAGAGTAAGTTTTTAGAATTGAATTGGGGTGCACCTTAAAATTTAGTTTTTAGCACTATCTCTTTCAAATCAATTTTTTTATGTAAAGCATCCATGAAATCGATAAAAGCATGAGAGGCTTTTAAAGCTACATAAGACGCATGTTTAATTATAAAAGCATCAGTGTTGGCAAAATCAGAAATCAAATGTTATTTTTCCGCTTTCGTGCGCTCGCAATATCACGCGTGATATTGGAACAAAATTTCATGCTTGATATTAATTTTACAAGCTCCTTTGATATTGCGAGACTATTCACAACGTGCAAAAATCAAGCTGAGAGTTGAGTCGACAAAAAATGATTCCATTGCACATCGTCTTCATAGAAAGAGAAAGAATAGTTTGCTATCTCTTTTTAATCTTCACCGATGGCAGACGCAAAGGGATTATGGAAGTTTCGGTTGCATTCGGGTGTAAAGCAAAAATCATTAAACTCAGTCTCACCACAGTTTGGTGAGATTTGCAGTTGGTGAGTTTTGTTAGCTTGATATTCCGAGCTGCGATATCACAGCTTACAAAATCAACCACAGTTGTTTGCTTGTTGATTTTTGTCTACGAAAATCAAGCGTGATCTTGGGCGTTGGTGAGATTTGGTTTTTTGATATTTTCCCAACAATGAAAAGCACTTTATGTATCTTTTTTTAAAAGAAGTTATAACCAATAATATGTCTGAAAATGATCATGAACAAAATGATTTTATAGAAGTTAAAAAAAATCATTTCCCTATTTGTTGATATTCTGTATACGTCCATTTAGATGTATTTTATGTTAGCCCCAACAAGAGATATTAACATTTGAAAAGGGCATATTTTCATAAGAAAAACGTCAATAACCCTTAATCGTCAATATATATCGACAAGTTCTGCCCGACTAAAATAGCGTCTTAAGACAATTTTGCTGAGAAACTTGAAACTCAACAAATAGACCAAACAAACTGTTTTTTTTTTCAGAGACACCCTAAGTCAATTGACAACAATTGCTCCAAATCAGTCAATTCAAGAGATACAAACATTTTGCTCTAGCGGAGTAGCTTAAAATTAGCCGAGCTTTTCCCGAAACAAGTATACCTTTATTTTTGCAAAAAGAGGATGAATTTTGGACGTAGGATTACGTCTTTCAGCAACACATTGGGGGTGGAATTAAAAAAAAAAAAACAAAATCGACCGGGTTACGAAATGTGGTCAGGATTTGACCACTTATAGCTCTGTCAATAGGGATAGGATTTTAATTCTAAGTAAGCCAATCGAGTGGAAAATTTTCTACGAATCTAGGTCACTATTGAAAATTACACAAATGTTCAACTGTTGCTATGGTGATCAAAATTATCACCGATTGCCTGCAAAAAGCGCTTTCCCTAACACAGATTTCAAAATCGAATTCCATCCGGTCTCGCCGAACGGTGCTTATTCCATCCAGTCGGTCATCATCACCACCAGCAGCAGCAGCAGTGCTTTCGGTGCGTGGCGTTAAGGGGAAGCTCACCGGCCCACGTTTTTATTTTTTTCTATTTTTTAATTTTCTAAAAATATTGGGAAAAATTATCAAAAATCCAAGAAGATCAGTTTCTTCCTTAGATTTTTGTCAAAAATTACATGCAAAAAAAAAATTTCTATCCCATCATGAAAAAAAATTGGACTCTCAGAAAAACCGAAAAGTTGATGTTTTGTGGTTTTTTGAGTCCAACTTTATGCCATAATGACTTATAAAACATGTTTTTGCACGTGAATTTTCTTTAAAAAATTAGAAAAAATGTGATTTTTTTTAGATTTTTGATACTTTTTTTTCAATATTTTTAGAAAAATCAAAACGTAATTATTTTTTTCGAAGCGGTGAACTTCCCCTTAAACATTGTTCTCCAGTACAAAACGAAAGGCTGCCCGCAAGCAGCGAGCTGCAGCCCACATGAACGTCCATTCACCGAAGAAGGAGGAATAAGCCGCACCGCTACTGATCGGATTCAGAAGCTCGTCGTGAGTCGCTGTGAGCGCGTCACATTCGTTCCAAACAACATACAGCTCGCCAGCCTCATCTGTGTTGAATGCTCTAACAGCACAGCATTGCTTAACCATCACGACAAAACGGTTCTTTTCAGGACCACCATAAATTATTGTTGTTTAGAATTTAATTTTCATTGAACGTTCGCTCGGCTTGCTATCAGCCACATCACCCCCAAAGCTCTTTGATAATGTACCCAGGAATAAAACGTTTTTGGTCGTATACGTAACAGTATTGAAGTGATGCATACAAATTCTTGCAATGACCGAGTTCCACATGACCTTGTCAATTAACCAGAAACACGAATTAAGGTAAGGTTTTCTCCAGGACGCTAGAAAAAAGCAAGCAAATATCGCATTTATACGATTAATTGCAAATATCTCGCGATTGGAAAATTTTAGCAAGAAATTCCTCCAATAATTTTTTTGTTTTTTTTTATTATCTATTAAATAAACCAAAATTTCCGTGCGCTTTGTGCACGAATATGCGTAGTTCTGTCATCAGAAAACGAGGCGTTTACATCATAAGAAATGTGGTTTCCCTAACACAGTCGCCGAATATTGATACCGAGCACGTAATCCTACGTCAAATCTACTATCTTGGATACAACCTCTTACTTTTTTTTTGTTTCAATTATAATAAGAGAAAAGATATTCAATATTAATTGACACCAAAAAGAGGGCTTAACTATAAGGAACAACTTTGTAGAAGACACATTTTTTGTATTATTTTAACTTCAGGCCAAATTTCTATTCTATTCTATTCAAAACCAACGATTCAGATAAAAATAATGTCATTCTCATTTTGGACACACTCATGATCAGTACAAACCCAAAAATCACAACGGACAGTTCTGGAAACAATAATGCGATTATCATTTGTGTTACAAATCATGATCATATGAAATAGCGATAAGCTCCGATCAGCATCATCAACTATCGTCACTGGAAATTCCCCATCAAAAATCAATCATTTGTAAATCCAAGATGGTGGCCATCGGTTTCAGAAAAACTGTCAAATACCCTACAATAGTGGTATTTTTGCAACTGGGCCGACATATCACAAGTCGGTCCCAAAAGTCAAAACTGAATTTTCTAGTGGAAATGGTAATTGATCACCTATATTTTCATAATACTGGATGAACACAGCATCTTTGTTCTGAAAAGGTTTGTAAAACAACTAAACTAATAGCGAATTTGTTTATTATTCAGTTCCAACCTGGATCGGGTATCAAGATCGGCTCTGCTTGTTTTCTGACAAACGTCAGTTTGATCGTTTGTTTTTAAAGCCTACCTCAGGTTCAGGTTCGCACTGACAAAAAGTTCGGTTTCGCACTGGGTTGGAACTGGTTCCAACCCCAATAATAAACAAATTCGCTATAAGAAGCAATGCTACAAAGCAAACTTATAACGCGTTTTTCTTGGCTTGCTGGATGGTGCTATGGGACAAACATGCCATGGGCGGCAGTATAGATGACGAAAATTGATGTCCGCAGTTGGAAATCCAAGATAGCCGCCATTGATTTCAGAAAAACTTTACCCACAATATGGGTATTTTCGGAACGGGGATAACATGTAGATGTTGTAAATCGATGTCCGTTGCCATTTTGAAACCCAAGATGGTCATTGATTTCCTAAAAACTGACAAATACCTTACAATCTGAGTACTGCGAACTCAGCCGATTTTATTTTTCAAGTGAGCTAGAAAATATCTTGAAAATCTTCCGAAGTTTGTTTTGCTGAAACAGCTCACGAAATTGTATATACATGCTGTCAAATGAACTCTTGGCTCCTCCTCCTCTGCTCTAGAAATAACGTATACATGGTGATGGGAGTGCACCTGCTCACAAAGCTCACATGACTCTTATAAAGTTTGATTACATTTTTGTTTCAGCAACCCAGTTTTGGCATTATTCATATCAAATGAAAACACTTTTTCGAGCATCACGCTCGATGATTTACATTATCCGTTTACTAAGGTTGATGTTTCGACAGTTTCATAATTATAATTCTCAATTGGTTTTAGTAGGTGGCAACACCTTTACTTGTGGTTCAAACAGTAACTACATACGAGACTTCCGTGCTCTTTTGAATGTTTGGCTCCCATTTGACAGTTTGACTCGGCTCCCAGATGGCAAGCATTTTGAGTTAGTTCGCAGTACTCAGCTTACAATATGGGTATTTTTGGAACTGAAATGGCGTGTAGATGTCGAAAACCGATATCCGCTGCCATTCTGACTAGTTTATACTATAGTTTCCTTCAAAACCCAATGGCTGCCATCTTGGATTCCAAAATGGTGGTGGACATCGATTTTTGACATCTACACGTAATCCCAGTACCAAAAATTCCCATATTGTATGGTATTTGACATTTTTTTCTAATACCAACGGCCGCTATCTTGGATTTCAAAATGGCGGCGGACAAAATATCCACTTTTGAGGGTATTTGACCTCCGAAACAACTTTTCCGAAGACGGCAAGGTCCGATTACTGGTGTTTTTATCGTCGGTAAGGATCGTAAGATAGGATTTTCTTGATTCGCACTGCACAATAGTCCAAAAGTCGTATTTTTGAAATTTTTTGAAGACAACTATAATTGTGCTTAAACTTTTAGTTATAGGTGTGTGGTGTTTTTGAAAAAGTTTTTGTATATTTGTTGGCAAATTTGTAAATACAAATAAAAGTAGGGTGTTCCGGTTAAGGAGTTCAAAATATCAATTTTTTACTTATTTGATATAGACCGGCACGATGTGCTACAAAGTTGTAGAACAATTAATTTGAAACAATGATAGAAATGTTCTGTCTCTAATGGTTCTCGTTTTATACTGGTTTTGAAAAGGTGACATAAGGTGACTCCAGAAAAACATTTTTTTTTACAATCACTTTTTATACGTTGATTCCTCGCAAATGATTTCTTCAAGGTGATCTTATGTCATCGATCTTTAAAGAGCCACAAATGAAAATTAGGAGGACATAAATTGCAGCTTTACCAGCTAAGTATCTCCTGTGAAGTTTTTTTTTTCTTTATCTACATGGCTTTCTGCCAGCGGCTGGTTCGCCCTTCTTTGAAGTTGTTACTTATAGTAAGGACTTTATTTTAATGAAATTTTCAAATAGGGTGGTCCTTAGAATGACAGCAATTTAAATTTAAGTTTCTAATTTTTGATTATGTTATGATGGACCTTCTACAAAGTTGTAGATTACTTGAAAAACTTTGCTGAAGAAATTGAAGTGATAAATTTTAAGAATATTGCCGCTAAAATTTCCATTTCTGGGTCAAACTATTTATTTTCTACTAATTTTCAATCCTGAACCACGTGCAATTCATCACAAGCATGCCGTGTGCTGAATTTATTAAGGTGGGTTGACGATACCTACTCGTTAGAGGAATGCAATTCAGGTTGTCAAGCGAAGTCTCCATATTATCGAGCAAATCATTGTATGTGGATACAAATGTTTCACCCCATCTCTTACCATTCCAGTTATATAAACTACTTTTAATATTTTCGTCAAGCATTTTTTGCCACTGTATCAACTAGCCACTGTGATAAAAGGGTGCGCATATTGCGTTTTACATAAGTACTTACAATTAGCTGCACCTAGTGCTGTAAGAAAATACCACAGGAATTCGAATGGAAATCTTCCTCTATTCCCTGAATTTGTTGAACCGTTCATAATCAAACGTTTCCAAGTCATCGCACAATAATCATTGACGCAAACTAATATCCCTCCAGTCACCACAGTAGGCCAATATTTGACAACCGCACACTTGGATCGCGTGGTCAACACGTTAAAATTTACAACAGCGAAAGACAATTAATTCAAGCCCAGCACCCATGGGTAAATACCCAGCTTGATGCTGCTGCTGCTGCTGCTGTTGCAGCACTGGCATCAAACTCCTATATAGGTAAACTGTTTTATGTTTAATTAAACAAAGCCAACTGTATCTCAAAATTAAATCTATGCATTAAACGGCACATGGCAAAAGAGGACGCATATTTCTCACGAGGACGAAGCTTTGTGCGGCTCATACGGTATCACGACTAACATGAACGGAAAACCGCACCCTCATTATAGTGCCCCCCTGCATTCTCGTCCTTTCCTAAGCTCTCAAACACACTGTTGCGCCTTTGCTAAATACAACACCGTGTCGTGTACCTATATGCAGATACAAATGCAGAATGTGATGTGACGACGACGAGGACGCAATAATAATAACAACACAGATAATAATGGGTTGATGATTGCTTTCCAGTTAGTTTCATCACTTTCAGTCCTCCGGATGCTCTCTCGTGTGTGTGTGTGTTTGTGTATGTGCGCGGGCGTATCTGTACAGCTAGGCGTTGATTGAAGGATGGGCTAAGATTGGCCGACGATTGAGGAAGGGAACTCCGCTTAGTCATCCCACGTGGGATGGCTGCTGGGGGTTTCCTGATAGAACATTCCGAAGCCATCCTTTTTCGCTTCCGGCCGCTGCTGCGTCGGCGGTGGCTGAAAGATGTTGGTCGATTCGTAATGCTGCGACGGGCGCTGTGGCGGCGGAGGTTGCTGCTGGCGTGGCGGATCGAAAATGGTAGTATCGCCCCAAGCATCACTTGGGTTCCAACTGTTGCCCGTGCCCCACTGTAGCTCGCTGCCATCGTCGTTGGTGGCCATTCGATTTTCGTACCCGTGTCGGTCCCACACCGCCGTCGGTTCACGGTGATTGCTCTGGGAAGGAACTTTCAGATTGGTCTTCTGCCCGGACGGAGGATGCTGCCCGTTGCCTTCCACCGTCAGCTCGAACTCTTCGCTCGGATTCTCCAGCGAACTGTGCGTGATTCCATAGTAGAAGTACATGATCAGGCCCAGCGTCATCCAAACCGTAAACCGGACCAGCGTCAGTATGCTTAGCTTAAATATCAGATAGATGTTGACGGTGATGGCAATCGTAGGAACGAATGGAAGTCCCGGCGTTAGGAAGGGCAGAGCGTATCTACGGGGGAGGGAAGAAGAAGGCGATGCATAAGATTTAAGCAACTTTTGATATCTCGAAATATGGGACTTACCGATTCTGGGGTTGCCGAGAGATTACTAACAGAATACACAGGATACCCAGTATCAGGGCAGTGTAAACCAAGGAGAAGAACACACCCGTAATTCCGATTGCCATGAACAAATCCAAAAAGAATATACACAGGTACATCAGACCGACCATCTTCGTCACGAACATTCCTGCGAGTAATAGGGTCAAATTAGATCGATTAAGTTCGAATATAAGATATTCACATTAGTGTACCGCTTTCGTGCGTCGCTGGTCCTGGACTCACCCACGGAAATAGTCCTGGGCAAAGATATGAGTATTGTTCGACCTTTCGACCGATGTAGCTGAAACCCCACAGCGTAAAAGGATTGGATCCACCCTGCGGAGCACCATGTACAGCACCTGGAATCAAACGCTTGGTTGAGAACACACTGGAGGCCACAAACAATGATCCACTCACCATAAAACTTATTCTCGGACTTGTCCGACACCAGGAACTGATCATCCCGACCCATGAAACCGTCCGGACTGCTGTCTTCAAAACTGTCATCCGAATCGGGCGACCCTCGCGTAATCTTTTTAACCATCACGTTCCCTTTCACGCGCTGTTGAGTTGTGGGATCCGGTGTGCTCGGAGGCTGTGGAGTTCTCAGCTGTGAAGGTAACAAATCCACCAACGTCGTACTATGCGGTTGATAGCGCAGAATTAGTACACAAGTCGACACCAGCGTGTACGCCAGCAGTGTTCCTATGGACATCATCTCCACTAGGACCTCCAGCCGCACGGTTAACGCCACCAAGGAAGCAGCGATTCCACTGCCGATGGTGGCAATTCCAGGCACTCCAGTACGGCTCCATAGCTGCGACAGCATCCGGAAGACCAGTCCATCCTGAGCCATGGCGTATATCACCCGGGGCATTGGGAACATAGAACCGAACATGGCCACACTGAGACCAGCAGTGGCACCTAGGGCCACCAGGGCGCGGCACTTCGGTGCCCCAACGTAGGTCCACATCTGAACCAACGCCGAACCGCTATCGATGTGGTCGTATGGAACTGAAACCCAGTTTCACAGATTACATAAATCATCCCAATTAAGCCCACTCGTACCCACCTGTCAGCGTTAGGATAAAGCTACTGGTCACATATACGAACAGCACAATCACCAGCGAGCCAACGATCGCCTTCGGAATGCTCTTCTGGGGGTTGTGTGCTTCCTCGCCCGTTGTGGCAATTATATCGAACCCGATGAAGGCGTAGAAACAGGTGGCTGCCCCCGTAAACACCTGCAAACAAAGCGAGAAAGCATGAAGTGACGTCAACCCGGTCGGAAGCACGAGAAAATTTACACCCAATTCCGATAGGGAGCTTAACAAATAATTAAATCTACTACCATTATGTTCGATTTGTGTTTACCCTTATCTGAATCGATCTACAGGACAAAAGCAAAACGGAACAAACTACATACCTACTACCAGGTGGTGCGGTGGCAAGCTGACGAGCAGAGCAGAGCAAGGCACGAAAAAATAAGCAACAAACCGTATAACATAAAATCAATAAATTTGATTAATCTGTGCTTCCGCGCTGCTGGACTCTGCCAGTGCTTCTCGAGTGACCGGATGGCGGGAGGTGCGACCATATAATTGCAACAAACTGTCACGTGGTGCTCTGCTTACTACCAACTGTACCACCCTGCCATCCCTCTACTCGCATCCATCCGAAACACTTACCCCACTCCAGCCGTATGGTAGGAAGCCTTCATGTTCGGTCCACGTGGCGGTGTCGACGTAGAACATCCCAGCCGTCAGGACGAATACCCACGAGGCCAAGTTCACCGTGTTGAGGACGTTGTTGAAGAGCACCGATTTGCTGGCTCCCAGTGCCAGCACACAAGTCATCACCAGCGTGATGCCAAATGCGATGAAATCCGGCGGCCGGCCTGCAGTTTCCATTTTTTTCCATTTTCATTCATTGGTATTTTATTTTATTTTTGGGTCGGTGAAGGTATTTTCGGCAGCCATGTAATGGGATTTGGTGCGGTTTCAGCAGTCCCAGACATCAGCGTGGCGACGCCGTGTCCAAGGAGACGACCAGATAATAAAAATTCAACAAATTGGAAGAGGAAATGCGAGCAAGAAAATGAAAGAAAAAGAACGAGAAAAGACGGAATAATGATTGAAATCGTAAATGTGTTAAGTTGAGAGAAACTTCGAGCGGTCGGTCATAAGTGGGAACGGATATGCTGCACAATGGGGGTGAAAAAGGATCCTGAATTAAGGGGCTTTGGGCGCTAAGAGGCGGGCATCGTTTGCAAAGTTGAGTCTATCAAAATCGATGCGATTGAGCTTTGAGCATCTTTATAAGAAGAAAATACAGTAACCCCTCTATTTGTGCGGTGGGTGATACCAGCCACCCACCACTGTTTCTTGGCTATTCTTCAACCAATTACGCTGATTGGTTGTAGGTGATTAGTGTCAACCATAAACTAGTTTTGTTCAGAAAATCAGTTCAGTTGTTTTCAGAAATATTGCGAAATTTCTATCGGAATTATTGAGGAATTTACTAGAGATTCTTGTGGAATTACCCTCAACATTCCCGATACATTCTTTAATTTGAAGTCGATGTCTAGCAGGATTCCACTCAGATTTCCCTAAAAATCTCCGTAGATTTTCATTTGGAATTCCTGTTGAATTTAGGCCTACAAAATTACGCTCGGAATTGCTATTTGCATTTTCAATTTACCATGTTGTAGGAATTAGAATAACAATAAAATTTATGATTAAAAGTTAAACTACAATTGACGCACCCCTTGATTAAAAAAGATAATTCGTATCTACAAGAGAGAATAGGTCTGTTCCTTTACTTGCTTTTCTGTAAGATTCTGTACACGGCGAATGAGAACGACCCAAATTTGAGTTTAGTTCACTCATAATCGCCAAAAGTGCAGGAACTCGGCGATGAGTAAAATTTGTCTCATGGTTTCCTGTGGAAAACCTAAAAAATCTGCCGGAAAATGAGGAAATTGACGAAAATTTTATTCAGTCTCGGAGTAGTACCAATAGACTGAGTGAATTCAATTTTTACTTTTCCTCAAATTCGGGAATTTTTCCCTGGAAAATCCTGGGAAAACATGAGGCAAATTTACTCATCGCTGAGTTCCTGCACTTTTGGCGATTATGAGTGAACAAAACTCAAATTTGGGTCGTTCTCATTCGCCGTGTACAGCAAAAAGCAAAAGCATGTTCCCGTACTTGTTGCACCATATTATTTTCGTACAACAACTTACAGAAAACTACAGCAACTTACAGCAAAAGCAAAGAAGCAAGTACGGGAACAGACCTAATGAGTATTTGAATTTGTAAATAGGTTTACTCTTCGCTTTGATCTGTTCGGGTTTTCTGTTACGCGCATCATAAAGTACGATATTGTTTAAGCAGAGAGAATTCTCGATAAATGCTTAAACTTGAAGTAGATATCCCGGAGAATTTCCGTAGATTTTCATTTGGAATCCCTGTTGAATTTATGCCTATAAAATTACGTTCGGAATTGCTATTTGCGTTTTGAATTTACCATGGAATGCCTGGAGAATTATCTTCAGAAATCACGTTCTTTTCCATTTGAAGCTCCTGTGAAAGTTAATCCAAAACACCTGTTGAATTATATTACATATTCCCGTGACATATGTAGCTCTCCTTTGAAATATTTGTGGAATTCTTGTTTGCAAATTCCTGAGTGATTTTAACCTAATCTAATCTAATCTAACACCAACACAGCCAGTTCTTGAAAGCATCCTGGAAAATGACTGATACACCTCCATCATTTTAATGCCTATTTGATATGTATATGTTTCACATCGAAGATGCGTCGCACATACCAAAACGGCCAGGCCGACTGTGCAGCATTTAAGGGGCAAGATTATTCAGAAAACATCGGGCCTGTTTAAATCGAGGATTTAAACATGTCGTACCGTACGATCCGTTTTTGGTAATTATATGATTGGTTGGTCGTTGGAAGCATCTAATCTAGAAAGGTTGAGTGATGCTCTATTTTGAAAATTCCTGGGCAATTCCCCCCGAAAATCTCTCGGAATTTCTGAAGAGCTCCTCATTGAATTCCTGATCAATCATATCGAAATCCATGTAAAATATTCCTGTGAGATTTATTAAGGAATTGTTAAGAAAGTTTGTAGAAATTCCAGTGAAATTGGTCGTAGAATTCTTGTGAAATTGACAGTTTATTTGTTTATTTGTTTATTTGTTATGTTTGCATCAACAGACTTGAAATAGTCCCAATGATGTGTTGTTAAAAATTACAGATTATACAGACTACATATACTACATATTTATAATTCCAAAATTTTACACTAAGCTGTTGGGTTTCAAGCGCCTTCGGACAGCAAAAAAGGTAGAGAATCTTTGGCGAAGCATATTCCGTGTCAAGTGGACATCGAACATTGACGCTACTCGGTTCAACACTCGCTGCAAGCCGTAAATAGAACCAGGCATGGAAAATCATTTGCATTCATTTCGTGCTTTCATTTACATTCATTTGCCTCTAACTTTTTTCATCAACAGCATTCTGCAAAATGATGTATAGAGCTTTTGTAGGTTTTGTTATTAACTAACACTTTTGTTAAAAACTCAAATCCGTATCTCTTATGCATGACGAACCAGAGCGAACAGAAGCCACTACTGTTTTTTCAGTTAATGTATTTTACATTCACTAAAAAACAGTAACAAGTTCTGCCCGCTCTAGTTCGTGATGCATAAGAGATACAGATTTGAGTTATGAACAAAAGTTGTAGCTAATAACAAAACCTACAAAAGCTCTATACATCATTTTGCAGAATGCTGTTGATGAAAAAAGTTAGAGGTAAATGAATGTAAATGAATGTATGAAATGAATGTAAATGATTTCCCATGCCTGAATAGCACTCCCTAAGCTATAATTAGTCCGAAGAAGTGGAAGTCTTAACATAAGACTGTTGCGTAGTGATCGAGGTTGAACATTAATGTTCACTTGTTGAAGAATTGCTTCGCAGTCGATTCTTCCTTTCAGAGTATCGGCGACGGTTAGGGCTCTGAAAACATCTCTTCGGATACGCAAGGGCTCGACATTGATCAATTTGCAGCGATTCTCGTAGCTTGGAAGACGAAGTGGGTATCTCCAAGGCAGCTTACGAGCGCTAAGCGAAGAAAACATCGTTGCACAGATTCAATTCGCTCGGCTCCATTATTGTAGTTTGGGCTCCAGACTGCAGAGCAGTATTCCAACGTAGATCGTACGACAGAGCAATAGAGCGATTTCAAGCAGTAAATGTCTGTGAGGTTCTTAGTAATCTTGAAGACAAAGTCAAGAGTTATATGGTGTGAGTATGTCAGCTTTGAGTCTAGAAAAAAAACGCCTAAGTCTTTCACGCAATGCACCCGTTCGATAGCGTGCTTAGTAGTTTGTAGTTGAAAATAATCGGTTGTTTCTTGCGTGAGAAAGTAATGATTATGCACATAGCTGGGTTGATCACCAGTCGGTTTAGACTACACCAGTCAGCAAAGAAGTCAATCTGATTTTGGACAGAACGGCAGTCGTCGAGCGAGAGGATGCGCAGCAAAACTTTCAGATCGTCTGCAAACGATAATCGTGGCCCTGTGATAGCATGGTGAACGTCGTCGAAGTAAAGGAGAAATACCAATGATCCCTGAGGTATACCGGACTTTCCGCAAAAGCTTGCTGAGCGACAAGTACCCAAATTTACTGTCACTTGGCGCTCCGTGAGGTATGAACGAAACCATCTCAAAATATTTCCACCGATCCCTAGCCTATCAAGCCATGCGATCGCAATTTCGTGGTTCAGCTTATCGAAGGCTGCCGTAAGGTCTGTGTAAATAACGTCCGTTTGGGTCCGAGCAATCAAACTGTCTGTGATGTTAGGCACAGCAGGTTCCTTATTTTTGGAACACCCAGTTATCAATCCGTGTTGATCTATACTTAGATATTGCTTGCAATGCCCATTTAGGGACTCTATGACAACCAATTCAAACAGTTTTGATACAGCACTCAGCGATGTGATTCCCCGGTAGTTGTTTACATCGCGTTTATCCGCAGTCTTCCAGCAAGACAGAAAGATGCCGCTGAGATAGAGCTGGAATATGCGGCGCAGTGGATCTAAAAAATAAGTGATGTCCTTTATAAGAATAATCGACGGAACACCATCGGGTCCAGCCTTAGCTGAAGTCTTTAGTTTAGATGCTGCTCTAGAAATCATATCTGTAGTAGCGTCGACAACGCTTAGCGTTTGGTTGCCCAAAGGAACATTACTGGCCGTGGAAGTAATCAGATTAACGGAGAGTTGCTCGTGTTCAAACACACTAGCAAATTTGGCTGAGAACAGGTTGCAAGTGTCTTGTTGATTGCCAGCAGTTTCACCATTAAAAATCATGGAAGAGGGTAAGCTAACTTCCCTTCGTTGTTCATTAACAAAGTTCCAGAAGGATTTCGGGTGTGATTTTAGCCGCCGTTGAATACTCCTTGAGAGGCATATATTAGCGCTAGTGTAAACTCGACGCTTAACGAGTCAGCAAGCCGTGTGTGCAGCCCCCCGTTGTAAGAGCAACAGTTCAATGCTGGTAAACAGAGATCTCTATGGCAACGCTTCATAAACACACACGGGCAACTCTCCACCCACTTTCGGACCAGCTCTTCACAAGGTAAGTCGCACATTGAGGATATCCCAATGAGTGGGAGAACAGCCCATCCTCTTTTCACGAAATGTTAAAGACAGGGAGTTGGCATTTCCACTCTCTCCATCGATTTCACCTCAATCGGGTGGACCGTCCTGTCCACAACATTTAATGTTTCATATAATAATGGAATGAAAGTTAAGAAAAAAATAAAGGAATGATCTCACCCGATATGTTGTAAAGAAATCCTTGACATCACGTTGATCACGAACGTTGGTTTGAACCGACACCGAATCCGGGCAAACTTTCCGCGTGATGCTGAATATCCAACTGTCTGAGTCTTAGTACTTCTTGTCTTCGTTAACCGGTGATGACGCGTTTCGCATTTTCCTGTCGACATTCCCGACATTCTACAGTAGCCGCGTTTTTTACTTTAATCAAGCCCTTAAAAGTTTTCTAGAGGTCGGTGTACCGCTCGAAATCCCCGACCAACACACTCTAGCTGTTCCAACTAGAGGGATCTCAGCAGAGAAAACAAGGCCTGCGTCCACTTTCCATCACCAATCACTCGTGACACAACGGCTTCAGTTCGCCAGTACACAGTCTACCAACATTAAATGTTATACGGCAACCATCCCACATTGCACCCCAGGAGTCCCAGGATGCAGTGAGGTCTATTTTTCAACTATGAGATTAATTGAAAAATCATCCATTTCGATTTTTGAACGAGAGATTCCTACGCTCCCTCCTACCACCGCTCCCATTGATCTTCATGATGGGGATGATGATGACGACTTAACCGCTTATACTCGTGGTTGTGTCTGACATAGTGGCATTTCAGCGGCAGTGTGCGGAATTAAGTAAATCTTCTGAGAGCAGCCTTCTTAGTTCTTTTCAACGAGCGAAGATTTTTCGTAATCAACGGGACGCGACAGTCGATATGGATGATCTTTTTCGAAACGTGCCTGTCAATGACGTATGGCAAAACGTGAGAAAAGGTTTGTGCAGCAATGTTGACGTTTACAGGATCTAAAATATGCTCCCAATCTAGGTTAGACAGCACATGGACAATACTGCGATGGTCAGCTCTACGGAAGTCCTATGACACAGCGTTTGGAGTGCTGATGAAACCATGGACAATATTATGTTCGATCACGATAACTAAAGCAGGGTGATGATGCACTTCCTTCACTAAAGGTTCGGGTGCCGTGGAGAGGAAAAGAGCTGTATCACGAGCATGTAACCGTTGAGGTTATGAGAAAATTTATTTTCAATTCGTGTGATAGTTCCCTTTTGGAATTACTATTTAATTTCGTTCATAATCCTTGCAGAATTGTTCTCGTAAATCAAATGATACACAGTCCTTTGAAAGTTCTGCCGGTTGCTCCTTTGAGTTCCATATGACATTCTCCTTTGAAATGCGTCAACAAATGTCTTTGGATTAATTAGGATTTTTTTTTTTAATTAAGGTGATACCTCTTCAAAGCTCTCAACTATTTTTCAATTAAATTCTAGTAAAATTCTCCTTGAAGTTGGTGTGGGCTTCTCATCAAGATTTCTTTGGAACTTTCCATAAAAATTCCTGCGAAAGTTTTCATGGAATTCTTGATAAGATTTTCTTAGAAATTCCTTTGTATTTTCCCTCCATAATTTTCGTGAAAATCCCTACTTATTTTCTTTGGTAATCCTGTGGAGTTTTCATTCAAATCTCTTTGCAAATTCCCCTTGAAATGTTTGTGAAATCTCTTTTTTTGAAATAATTAGTGATTCCCTTCGGTATAATTGAGCAATAATCCGCGGAAATCCTGAGAAATTCTCCACGGAATTCCTGAGGAATTCTCTTACCAATTTCTGCTGAAATTTTATCGAAACTTTTAGTTGGGTTCCAATTGAAATTGCTGTGAATTTTCCATAGGCATTTCTGTGAAATTTAACATGATCCAGATATTGGAAAATTCAACATTTATTCAATTTATTTAGCAGTAAATAAATAAAAAGTTGAAAACTTCCTGAGCAATACGCCTCATAGTTAAGCCATTCTTTTCCAGATTCCGAGGAATTTCTCCTTTAAAAATTCTTCGAAATTCTGCTGTTGAAAAGTCATTGAAATTCCTGTGGAATTTCCATAAGAATTCCTGCGAAATTTTTCATGGAATTCTTGATAAGATTTTTTTTAGAAATTCCTTTGTATTTCCCCTCCACAATTGTCGTGAAAATCCCTACTTATTTTCTGTGGTAATCCTGTGGAGTTTTCATTCAAATCCCTCTGCAAATTCCCCTTGAAATGTTTGTGAAATCTCTTTCGAATTTTCTACGATTTGTATCGAAATCTGTTAGATTTTGGAACCATTTCTTTAGAAAGTTATTAGTCGTTTGAAAAAAAAAAACTCAAATTTAAATTTTACCGAAACAATCAGACAATTCTTGAGGTTTTCAAGCTTTCTTAAAGTAGGAATCCATTGACGGCAATCGAATGTGCAGGAAGGCAGCTTCCTCACCTGCGTAGGATATCGCACCCATTCAACACACATGGGCCGGGACCAACGGCTTTACTTCCTTTCCTAAGGAAGACGTGACCAGAGATTTTTATGCCTCAGAAAAATCCCACCGACCTCGGCTGGGATTGAACCCAGACCCATCGGGGTGTTAGAAAGCAGTCATGCTTACCACTACACCACCGGCGCCGGCTACTCTTTCATTGCCTCGTCGTTTACCGTTTGTACGGTCTGCACAGAGCAATGGATTGAATAGTGCAGTGCTTTCACACTCAGCCTAGGCAGTCAATAATTTTAAGCTCTGGTTGTGACTGTTGAGACAAGCTCTTATTGCATATCTATTTACGCTTCTATACAGCTGTTATCCTGCTGTTTAGTTGTGTGTGAACTTGAAAGCCGCTTACTCAACCTTTACCCGATTATCCAATAATCACTACACAGCTTTCTCTTGACGCCAGGTTAAATACTGTTTACGCTTATTTTTTTGTTGGATGAATTTACCATGTTAACTTTACTGCGAATAAAATTAATCGAAATTAGTTATAAAGCAAGACCACCAAATTATTCACACTGTACCGGAACCCGGAATCGAACTCAAAACGAACGCATTGGTGAACGTTGATACTACCAACTTCGCTACGCCAACACTTTGAACTGACGTAAACACATCTATATGACTTTCTACAACAAGATCGCTGAGTAGTGGCTTTATTGTACTGCACATAAATCACTTTTCTCAACTAGTTAGTTCAGTTTTGTAAATGAGCGAAGTAAAAGCTGTCAAACTGCACAAATTTCGCAGTAAAGTAAACATGATAATTTCCTGAAAAAAAAAAAAAAATAAGCGTGAACAATTTTTTACCTGACGTCAAGAGAAAGCTGTGTAGCGATTATTGGATAATTGGGTAAAGGTTGAGTAAGCGCCTTTCAAGTTCACACACAACTAAATAGCAGGATAACAGCTGTATAGAAGTGTAAATAGATTTGCAATAAGAGCTTTTCACAACCGTCACAACAGCCATAAGTAGCTGACTAAGTTCGTAATATACAGCTTAAGGCTGTATAAATGAAATGAGTAAAGCGTTTACATTGCGAAAATTGTTAGTTGGGAAACCTAGTTGACTGTAAACTAGCATCCAAAGTAGCGCTAACACAGTTTATTAGCTGATTGTTTAGGTTATTTAGTTGTTGAAAAAGCACTTTTGATGTTTATGTTATTCAGCAATTATTGTGAAAAAGTTGAGTAAACGCTCTCCAAAACTATTTTGCTAGCTTCTGCTTGTAGCTGTATCTGCAGCTTTTTTCAGCTACTTTACAGCACAACGCTGGAAAAATTGGCTTATAAGGCTGAAATGGTAGTTGGGCTATGGGTTTTTCTCTAATGCATACATTTGCCGTGTTTGTTTGTTTACATTCAGCTGCTGCCTGCTGCTTTACCAATTTCAATCGACAGAAATGTCCAAAACTGTATTAATACACTTTTACAACGCTCCAAACTTCTCAGGTGAGTGTGACTATTGTCGGCAGCCTCTTTTTCTTCGGCAACCTTTCCATTTGCTTAGCCATAAAAACATTATCAGATTGAAGCTGAAAGTCTAAGGATTCCTTTGAATACATTCATAATAGTGTTTTGAGTGAAATTATCGCATGAATTGTTGTTGCTGAAAACAGAATATGTATACGAGAAGCATTTCCTAGTGAACTTTTCAGCAACATATTTCCTACAATATCGCTGCATGACCCCAGAGAAGTTAGTTTAAGACCAAATTTAACATTACAGTAGCTTCTCCATATATGCGGTGGGTGGTACTGTCCACCCACCACTATTTCTCGCCTGTCCTTCAACCAATTGAGCTGATTTTCGGTAGAAAACTAGTTTATGGTTGACCCTAATCACATACAAAAAATCCAGCGTAATTCGTTGAAGGATAGCTGAGAAACAACGGTGGGTGGATGGCGCCACCCACCGCATATTTGGAGGGGTTACTGTAATTCCGTTCACAATGATCATAAAGGCTTCTACCAAAAGCCTGTCTATCGAACATTACTCAAAATGATCCGGTAAGTAATTTATATACTAACTATATAGGATTAGGAAGCACATATAGTAATGGAAATTAAATGTAAGGAATTTGTAAGAGAAATGCAATGGAAGTAACCTGGAAACTTCGACTCAGATCAAAACTGTTCCCATTGTGCAGCACTTATTGAAAAAAACATATTTTTTAAATAAAAATATTTTAGAACACAAGGATCCCGATGCATAAGATTTCTGATGAAAGATTTTCTTCCACTGGCCGCTGCTTTTCATCAGAAGCCCATCTCAGTAGTAAATAAAGTCTTACAGAAGAAAGTATTAAAAATATGAGTGAAGTTGTAGCTTTAATGAAAACTGCAACCTGAACCGGTTGCCATACATACCGAATATGGTCCCCACTGCGGAAGCTATGCTCCTGCTGATGGATCCTCCGGACAGTGAATCGAAGCTTGCACTCAGTGCACAGGCACATGCGCTCGTACCTGTTGAAAGAGAAATTAATTTTTAGTACGTCTACTGCCGGTTGAGTGCCGAGGGTGGCAATTTGAGTTGAAACCCCATGAATAATGTATAATCCTTTTGCCTTTAACTACACACTTTCTACCGGTGGTGGTGTTGCCAAAAAAACACAAACTTTAAATCACATAAATTCCAACCCTCGCAATCCCCTATCTACCCACCTGTGCGGAAAAACTTTGGATAAGACCGCGATTGAAATTAATATTCATGTACTTCCCCCATTCATGCGAAGGGCAAACTTTTTTCTCATCCCAAAATTCCAACCACTCCGAAGAGGCAAAATCTCCATAAATCGGTCGGGTTTCCCATTCGAGTACCACCACCACTGATATCGATCGGAAGCTGGGAAGGTAAAGTTGTTTTTGCTTATTTAGTACCCCGAACCATTATTGAAAGACAATCTCGATTTCAGGGCCAAAAGTTGCGAACATAAAATGCTATTTATAGGTGAGTTATTCAACCATGTAAATCAAATAAGTACAGATAGGCAGAGTTGGTGACGAGTCCCCCAAATACATCGCGGTGGCTCTGGGAGTTTGGGAGATTTGGTTTCAATTTTCCCTCGGGGGGCAGTGAAGAATGAAGATGAGGGATGGTGCACTGTCAACTGAGTAACAGTTTTCCTGTCTTGAGTGAATTTCGCGTAATTCAACTACCTTAATCAGATCATCAAAGTCAGAACGCTGGAACAAAAGTTGACCTAGAAAATTGTAGATAGAAAATTTCCAAAAAACCTCACCAAGCGTTTCCTCCGGGAAATAAAATGCAACTCAACAAAACGCATCGTTAACAACAGATTCAATGATCCAAACAATACAATTTTCCCAATCAAAACATTCAGAACAAACAGACTTCCACCATCGCCGGAGTCCACACATTCAAAGCACGTGTTCATAATTGAACTCGGTATCGTATCCCTTTTCACTCCAATTTAATGCACTTCCGGACCACATATTCGTCCGACAAGCACGAGTTCAAAACTAACGAAGCAGGGGTCGCAGTTCTTTTCGCTCAGAGACAAAACAATGGAGCCCGAAACTGTGTCCAGTCAAAAAGTCACAATCAACAAATGGAGAAAAGTTGCGAATGTCCTTTTCGAGGTTTGGCTCACCATTGTTGAACTGCGTCCGTCCGACGTGGAAAAAAGTCAAATCATAGAGAAATATCTACTTCAAGTACTAAAAATAATATTTCCTCTGTGTAATTTAGTCTTGTCACTCTGTTGTCCATTCAACCGGCACCACCAGAAGAGAGGGTTCCCTAGAGTACAGCGTCGTCGTCGACCAGTTCAGCACCAGCGCCGAGTTTTTCATTTCGTTTTTCATCGTTTTGTTATTGCTATCAGAGGAATCAGAAAATAAATAATTTTCCTTTGCTTTTCTCACGCTACGTCTATTGCACGAGAGGCGATGCGGCTCTATTACCGAAAGCGCCCGTAGAAAACGTGGGTGGAAGGTACCTACCACGCGGGTGTGCAATGTCTTAAGTCCCATCCGATTGGATAGTACGGGAGGGGCTGACGAAGGGTCTCATGCAGCAGACAACAACAAAAGAGAAATGCTATGTTGACGGTCGGTTCGGTCCGAGTTGTCTGCCATCCAGGGATTTTGCTAATGCTCCTTGTTGATGCGACATTTATTATTCGACAGATGGCAGATTGCAAGCGAGATAAATCAAAGAAAAAATGATCAAACGCTTGCGTTGCTGAAAAACGACTTAATCCGGGGAACATTTGTTGCATCTAAATGTTGAACACGAAAAAATCCGCACACCTTTAAACGCTGCCATTAAGGCATTTTTAGAGCAAAATTATTCAAAATTTCACTGAATCAAGAGTGTATAGAATCACAGTTTAGGCATTGGTTGTCAGGATCTGTTGTCGGTCTATCCGCACCTGGCAGATTTCGATCAAATTTTTAAACAGGAATTGTATACGTCGGTTGACTGGAAGAGTGCCCCGGAAGAATGTAAAATCAAAAAGATGTCGAAATTCCCCAGAAAAGCAATCTGCAGTTGTGGGTTGAAAAGCGAAACTTTCATTACTTCTGGGACCATGAACCAGCAAATTAACCAGGAGGAATGCTTACGGAATCGACTACTGCCTTTACAGTGGTACAGCGAAAATGGCGTCACATTGGTTCCCAAGGAGATGAATCCGGCCGCCAATACTCCGGAACAAAGGCCAATTGAAGAATACTGGTCAATTTTGAAGTACATACTGAAGAAAAAGAGTGGAACTGCAAAAGCCAAAGAAGTGCAAAATATGATGAAAAATCTTCACGTCCGATTGACGTGAAAACATAGGTGGTTTTCGTCCACCCTATTTTTCACGTAACTTTTACCGGAATTGCACGTAGCCGATCAAAATTCAGCTTCAATTATCTACGTGATTAGTCAGGTAAATAAGACCTGATTTCCACGTACTGCTTACGTTAAATCGGGGTGAAAACTATTTACTGGACATCTGGTAACATTTACGTGACATTCCGTTTTGTTCAAAATGCTTTTCATGTAATTTGTACGTGAATTTTTAATGAGAATAATGGGTAGTATATATAGAAGCAGTCAATATTATGCAATTTTATCGGGAAGATATAAATTTCACGTGCTCAAATTAATACTTATATCTACTCATAAATTTGTAAAATATTGACTAATTGATAATAAGGTAGAAACGTGTATAAGTTTTTTTTTTTATTTCTGACAAAATATTAACACCTGTTTGCAGACTCAAAATGCTGATGTTACCGTCTGAAATTATAAAACTATTAATGTAAAGAATCTAATTACCGTCCAACATTTGCAGCAAGCGCTGAGGAATTTTGAATCTTTGAGGAGTTCTTCCACCAAAACGTTTGTGTCTGCCACCACGCTCGGTGACGCCATATTGATTTTTTTTTTGCGTACCTTAAAATCACGTAAATCTCGTTTTACGTAAATATTTAATTTCCAAACACACAAACACCAATACACTAAATCTGTTTACGTGAAAATACGGTAAATTTCACCAACATTTTTAGTGGACATGAGATTTTCTAAATACAAATCAGCTACGTGATATTTCACGTAAATCTGACGTGAAATTTTTTTTAAGAGTGTGGGTCGTGTACGAAGAAAAGTACACACTCTATTTGTGAGCTACTCAGTGACTGGGTTGATCGCACTCATTTTTGAAAGCTGTATGGAGTGGTCAAAAAATGAGTAAATTGGTTTTACTCCGATGCGGGGATCTACCCAGATTCTGGGTAAATGGTTCTGATGTCAATTTCTCCTAAGTTTAAAATGGCGCACTTTGAACAGGCGATCTTTGCGCAGTGAGTTTAAAATTTTAAAAGTGAAGCAGTGAAAATGAAGCAGCTACGCAATACGCCTTTTTAATGCACCACCAACATAGAGTGCGCCACGCGAGTTCGAGAAGAAACGTCAACCAAACCGTTTGTTTACATCAGAATAAGTATTTTCCCCAACGCAAATAACAGCATTTTTCATTCAAAATCTTGCCAATTTCCATCGGTAATTGTCGTATTGTACGATTTTCCACAAATCTGAACTGATTTGCACCTTAACTATTCACACACAAGAAATCCGGAAGATCATAACCACTAAGGCACTTTTCTAATTTTCCATTTTTTTCAACAAAAATATTCCTGAACACCAGCAGGATCTTTTCAAAAACGTTACAGAATTAAATTTTTCAACTGTAGATTAAGTTTTGCAGCATCTCAGATGAATCAATTTATCAGGAAAAGTAAAAAAGTGTTCCGCTTCCTATGTCTCAAGGCAAAAATGTATGCTCACAACACTCTTTTTGACGTTCTTCTATTCACAACCAGAGGTTGAATCGATCGTTTAGTTTCTATTAAAAAGGCCTATTGACAAATCAAAGTTGGCACTCGTGGAGAATAGAAGAACTATGAGTGTGATGATGGTTTCAAAATTTTACACGGTGAGGTTAATTCCAACGTCTGAAAGAACTAATCGAGGACAGGACTAGCATCCACCCCTGGGGTCAAGTTAGCCAATCCAAACTCATTGCACTCCAAAGGGTATCTGGCTTAAATGCTTATCCCCTCTGTCTCTGGTCCATGACCGCCGTCCCATTCACTGACCCATAGATTCCGAATATCAGCGACAACGCCTCGCAAATCCCCTAACCACTCCCCGGTTCGCAATCCATCAACAGCAGAAGAAGAAGCTTAACTCCGGCTATACCACTCCGAACCAACAACCTCCTTGGCGAGACAACCCCCTTCACCGAGTACTCTCGAAATCCAGCCGTCAACCAAAACTCGTTTGATCTTACAACCAGCTCAGCCTCCCACCCGGAGGATGCCAAATTATTTCATGATTCTCAGTCCTGCAATTATCCAACCAAGTACCGCAAACCTGGTGCTGCTCGGTATTTGGACAGAACCCGTTATCGCAACGTTCGTTGTTCGAGTCCAGTCGGCAACCTTTTTCCTATTTTTTTTCGACATAATTAATTTACCTCACTAATACACTCTACATTTTTCGGTCTCCAATTTTATTGCATTGGACCGTAGCTAAGTATATCGCATCCTCGGTTCATGCGGCCTCCACTTACATCCTCTGATGATGAATCCCACATAATTGTAAGCGAATCTTACATCCACCGGTTGGGTGTAGCTGTTACATTGAACTATGATAAATAAAGCGCTTTTTTAAACCCCAACAAGATTTTCGTGTCCAGATTATTTCGTGTTCAACCTTGTCAATGTCAACCTAATCTGATAATATTCACTAATTTACAAGTATTCGGAAAGTCTACACACTTCGATTTTTTGCCGAGATTGGCACCACCGAGCGGGCTTGACATTTTATTTTTACTGCGATCTCAGCAAAATTTATGTTTGTTAGCCGAGATCTCGGCAAAATTCCCGTTTGTTAACTGAATCTCGGCAAAGTTTTCACTGAGATCCAGCAAAATAGATTGCCGAGCTGCTCGGTGGTGCCCATCTCGGCAAAAAATCTAAGTGTGTACGAAATACTTAACGCTTTTATGAATTGGTTGGACATGCCAATTTATCTTGCACGCTTAAAAAATATTCTCGAACTCGGCAAAACATATTACCGAGCAAACACGGCATCGACATAATTAACTGAAAATTCAGCAAAAAATCCATTTTAGCCGAGATTCAGCACCACTACACACTGAAATCTCGGCTTGTTTCATTTTTTTTTTTCGAAATTCGGCAACACTGATGCTGAGCGCAAACGAAAACAATGATTCGCTGAGCTCCATAATGTGATATGCCGTGATTTCATTTCAGCAACGCTTTATTACCGAGATTCAGCTTTCATCCGCTCTTTTCATAACGCTAGTAAATATTTCAGTGCTTGGAAGCCTCGTGAAAAACTGTGTTGTGTCTGTTGTGTACAGTGATTGTTTACATGTGATTTGTGATTTATGATGATGAACGCTGATTTATGTGATTGCTTACATTTTATGCCGTGATTTAAGTTTTACAGTGCAGACGAATCAGTTTTTGCTTGAGCCCAGATTTTCGGTAAACCACACAAGCTGTCATTTTTTTTTTTTTTCAAACTGAGATTAACGGCAACAATTTGTTTGCCAAGCACTGGCCTGTGCGGATTTCGGCAAAAATGCCGAGATTCGCAAAAACTCTAAAGCTGGGTTTAGACTAGGCAAGTCAAATGATCAACTCAGTTGAATTCAATTGACTTGAAAAGTTGAGCCTGGTTCAACTTTTTTCAATTCAAGTGAGTTGATCAAGTCAGTTGAATGGTATGGTTTACACGTTCAATTCGCGTTCAAGTCAGTTGAATTCAACTTACTTGATCAATTGACTTGCCCTGTCTAAGCCCAGCTTAAAGGCCGGCGCACAATGCATACGTTTACGGGTTTTTTGAAAAATAATGCATTAGCTAACTGTTAAAAAACCTGAAAACGTATCTATTGTGCGCCGGCCTTAAGTGTTTTTAGTCTGCAAAGTTACACACTAATTACAATTCATGTAAATTTAGGTGCTCTGAGACTGACATATACGAGCGTCAATTTCGACATGAATTTGAGTCACAATAGATGCAAAATTCAGCTCAATCAAACGTACTTTTTGTCGAGTAACGAAATGTTCAGTCTCGAAGCATTTAATTTTACATGACATGTGTGTTTGCGTCTCATCCTTAATATCAATGATGGATTCCGTCACGTGTAAAATTAGTTATGATTTTGACGTAAATTAGGCAAAGATTTTGACGTACGACGTACGTCTGTGATTTCTATATGGGGGTACACTTTGTGGAAACCGAAAATGGAACATGTAACAAAATTATGAAAGATTTTGAACGTTAATAACTCAGCTGCCCCTGGACCAATTTCAATGATTTTATCACCAATTGATCAGATATATTGCTAAGCATCAGACATTATCATTTTTTTTTAAATTTCACAATTGAAAATTGCGCAAATGTATAACTGTTGCTTTGATAATTAAAATTATCACCAATGGCCAGCGAAAAGCGATTTCCCTAACACAGATTTTAAAGTTGAATTCCATCTGGTCTCACCAAAAGGTGTTCATTCAATCACCGCGTGGTGAGTGGTGATGTTCTCCAGTACTCAACGAAAGGCTCCCTGCAAGCAGCAAGCTGCAACCCACATGAGTATCGATAGAAGGAGGCTGAAGCCGCACCGCTATTGATCGGAATCAGTAGCTCTTCGTGAGTTGCTGTGGGCCATCTATGTCAAACGCGTCATACTAAAGAGTATAAGCAGAGAGAACCCCGCTCAAATTCCTATCCCTACACAAAACGTAAGCTCCTGCTGCAATTAACAAATAACATTTTTTATATATGACCACGTAGTCCTACGTCACCATTGCGTACAACCTCATAGGGCTGCCCCTTGTAGTTTTTTTTAAATGCTCAGTACTGGTTCTAGGAATGAACCCAGTCCAATTAAATTTTCAATTAATCTTTCTTAGATTAATGCTAGTATTGTCACGAACAAACTTTAAAAAATGTGCTCCTTTGTACCACATTCCGTGTTTTCACTGAAGATTCACTAGGATGCACCTTCAGTGGAAACATAGAGTGTGGCTTAACGGTGCGAACTTTTTGAAATTTGATCCGGAAAATACTAGCATTAATCTATCTATTTTAAAATGGACTTAATTAACTGAAAATTCAATTGGAATTAACGTTAGCAGCTGACTTTGAAACGGTTCAACGCGCTGAGGGAACAAAGCCATCGAAATGTGTACATCCAAAAGATCGCCACCCTCGATATTCAAATCGATTTCAAAGAGCAACCATCTACCACTCCATGTTCCTTTTATCCCAGCATCAACGGGTCAGCAAACATCACTGAATTCCCCTACTCCCCAACGACTGTAAGCTTCCATACTTAAGGAGTGAACCAGACTGTGTCTGAAAATCTCTTTAGTACAGAAGGCATTGCAAAAAATAACTTGCTTGCGGATATCGGTTTCGAAATCTACAGCATTGAAACGACCCAACCACCTGTTCCATAAAATGGCAAACAACAAACACTCAACCGTTGTCGACGATGTACCTACACCCACGCCACGCAACCCAACCAGCCAGCGCCCAGATTAATTGATTAGGTCTGCTGTGGAAAGGATTTTCCTTTTTAGTTTGCATTATCTTGCGCGCAGGGTTCATATTCTGGCGTATTGTTTTCGTTATTTTACTTGAGCTTGAACTCATCTCGACTCGACTTGGCTATCACTTGAAAGCAACAAGCTGCTTCCATTTCGCCGAAAGCAACAGAAGCGGAAAAAGGGATCCGGTATCCGGTTTGTGAAACAGCGAAAACAAAATCCGTAATGTGCTCTTTGCCCTTTTCTCCGTGATCATTTTGCCGATGAAGCTTTCACCGAGCCCGGGTTTTATGAACTTGTTATTAATTTTTATTCGTGTTTTTTTTTCATGCTGGGAATTCCAAGCTCTGACAACAACGTTCGAAAATAGCTTGTGCTGAACATGAAATCAGACAAGTTTGCCCAACCACCACCAGGATGCTATTGAACGAAGAAAACCTAAATTACAGAGACAATCGACTTACCAATTAAATATTCTAATATCATGTTCCATCCGATAACGAACGCCACAAACTCTCCCACCGAGACGTAGGAGTACATGTACGCCGAACCGGACGTGTGTGGCACTCGGACGCCAAACTCCGCATAACAGGCGCCTACGGAAACCGTTTGGATGAAAGTAAAATATAGAAAATAATGTTAAAGGAGGAAAAGTTACATTACACAACACAGACATAAACGTTAGGATAACAGTTTGGGGCCAAGTGCCTAATGTGGGAAATTGTGCCAGGGGAGAAAAGAAGGGATTCAGAATGAGGACAGGTTGATCCCACCTGGATTTTGCCGTCGTTTTGGGGTGTAAAATGATCCTACAAAGGTGAAGGAAGGTACCTTGTTTGGCTTGAGCGCATTTCCATTCACAATTCACGCTACATGTGTGTATCGAATTTGTTTAGGATTGCTACACGTGTTGTTCTTTTTTGCTACATCAGCAATTGTCGTCAATTTGTCAACGTCACTGGTTTTTGGCATTTGTGTGAAAAACATAAAAAAGGGCAAAAGGTCGAAATCTAAAAACATAATCTATTAGTAAGAATAAGCGTATTTCTATGAAGGGTATATTAAACTGGATGCTGGGTCATTAGGCCCTTTAATCCGAAGGTCATGAGCTTGATATGTGTCTTTGGACTAACTACCATTCGACGGTAATTAGGCCGAAGATACATATCAAGCTGAGCATTTCATTAGGTCCTAAGCAACATTGACAGATTCTATTCATCGACTTTCTCTTTGCATCCTCATGGCCATGACATTCCCAGCTCTTTTAGGCACACAGATCGATAAAAGAAGCTATTACTTAGGACGTAATGCATTGTTCAGCATGATATGTAGATCTTCGAACTAGATGCCTTTCGAAAAGTGAAGTAATTTCACTATCCTTAAACCGCGAATACACTTGAATGGCAAACTATGAGCATGAACCTTATTGGTATGATAAAACTCATGGTCATCCATGGTCACACTTGTATAGTTTTTGTATAGTGCTCATAATTGTTATACAAATAATACCCATGCTCATAGTTTGTCATACAAGTGTATCCGCGGCATTACTTGGCATAACTGCACATTGAAATGTCAAAATTAAAAATAAAACAGTTTACCTAAAATGTAATTCATTGAATTGAAATTTGAAAACAGTTTGGATGTCTGCGAAAAGTGCTGTCAGGTTAGGGAAATCTGAATAATGTTCCAATGAATCATATCATCAGGGCATTTTCCACAGAGTCCCAGTTACCAGTCCCAAGAGAGCTAACGAATTCAAATCTAAGAGCTAAAATTTTCTCTCAAGAGGGCAATCCCCAAAAATGCCATGTATATTGATGCCACACGAAATGTGATTTCCCTTTCACAGACTACAAAATGTAGTATCTAGCCCTGAAAAAATTTTGAAACCCTTATTTATGCAATTAGATTTCCCATCCAGAGGCGGAGGTTGGCAAGTCGTAGAATATGTAAGAAAGGAGGGACTCCGGATGTTAATAAAACAGCATATATATAGGTACCATACATGTTTTGACCGCACAGCGTCTGTTAACAATTAACGGAACTAAGTGTATGCATCTGACATCTGAAGGAAAATTAACGCTTAATCCGTTCGTCTAATTATTTGATAGTGTACTTCAGTATTAAACGAGTCATATCGTAAATCATATTGGTTATCTCCATACACTCAAAGTGTTTTTTATGTTACTTCATACGCGAAGTTAACGATTTTCAGAGTTGGTTGGAAATGCTAACATGAAGCTTTAGTGTGATGATTTATTAGCTAGAGAATGATCTTTAGAAGAGGGTAGGTGGATAGTTCCGTTAGAGTACGGCAGTATGAAAATTGAATAGAAGTTGAAAATGAGCGAAGGGCCATTAAAGCGACAGTTTACAAGATAGACGCACATTTTTGCCTAGCCCGTACGATGTACGCGGGGACTTGAAGTATGTCTCCAAGTCCACAGGCAAAAATGTGCGTCCCTCTTTTTTTTTTTTTTTTTTAACTCTTTATTTGTTCCAAATTCAAAATAAATTACATTTCATTTTAACCTAGGTGCTCCAGTTACTGCAGTAACGTACCAGCCTTAATTGTTATGATATATATCTAAGTGTTTTTACATTGTTCATGTCTTGGCAATTCAGTATTTTAAACAGGTTTTTTAACCTGCATGTCAGTATAACAATTGATATCTTAAAACTAAAAACTAAAACTAAATCTTATCTAAGTATAAAGGGAATTAATCGTTGCAATTGAGGATTGCGACGATTTTTGCCTGAAATTATTAATTATTTTGTTGGACATTTGTGCTAAAGTCTCAACATTCGAGATTCTATGTACTTCGGTTGTACTGTACCAGGGAGGCAACTTCAAAATCATTTTCAGAATTTTGTTCTGAATCCTTTGAAGTGCTTTTTTCCTGGTAGTGCAGCAACTAGACCATATTGGTACAGCGTAAAGCATGGCCGGTCTAAAAACTTGTTTAAATATTAGAAGTTTATTCGTCAGGCAAAGTTTGGATTTCCTGTTTATAAGAGGATACAAACATTTTATATATTTGTTACATTTGGCTTGAATGCCCTCAATGTGATCTTTAAAAGTTAATTTTTGGTCAAGTATTAATCCAAGATATTTCACTTGGTTTGACCAGGAAATAGGAACTCCGTTCATAGTGACTATGTGACTACTACTAGGTTTCAAAAACGAAGCTCTAGGCTTATGTGGAAATATTATAAGTTGAGTTTTGGAAGCGTTGGGAGAAATCTTCCATTTTTGTAAATAAGAAGAGAAAATATCTAAACTTTTCTGAAGTCTGCTGCAAATAACACGAAGACTTCTTCCTTTAGCGGAAATGCCTGTGTCATCAGCGAACAAAGATTTGTGGCAACCCTGAGGCAAATCAGGGAGGTCCGAAGTGAAAATGTTATACAATATAGGCCCAAGAATGCTACCCTGAGGAACTCCTGCTCTAACAGGTAGTCGATTAGATTTGGAATTTTGATAATTTACCTGCAGAGTTCTGTCAGTTAAATAATTTTGAACTAATTTCATAATATAAAGTGGAAAATTAAACTTTTTCAATTTAGCAATCAAACCTTCATGCCAAACACTGTCGAATGCTTTTTCTATGTCTAGAAGAGCAACTCCAGTTGAGTGGCCTTCCGATTTGTTTGAACGAATTAAATTGGTAACTCTTAAGAGTTGATGAGTAGTTGAATGCCCATGGCGAAATCCAAACTGCTCATCTGCAAAAATTGAGTTCGTATTGATGTGAAGCATCATTCTATTCAAAATTATCTTTTCAAAAAGTTTACTTATTGAAGAAAGCAAACTTATTGGGCGGTAGCTAGAAGCTTCAGCTGGATTTTTATCCGGCTTCAAAATTGGAACAACTTTTGCATTTTTCCATTTATCAGGAAAGTATGCCAAATGGAAACATCTGTTAAATAATTTTACCAAGAAAGACAAGGTACTCTCTGGGAGTTTTTTGATGAGGATATAGAAAATTCCATCATCACCTGGAGCTTTCATATTTTGAAAATTTTTAGTTATAGACCTTACTTCGTCCAAATCAGTCCCCCAGGAATCATCAAAAATATTTTCCCGAGAGAAAATATTCAGAAAATCCCGAGCAACCTGATTCTCAATAGGACTAGTAAGACCCAAACTGAAATTATGGGAACTCTCGAATTGCTTAGCAAGTTTCTGAGCTTTTTCCAAATTTGTGATCAAAATTTTACCACCTTCTTTTAGCGCTGGAATAGGCTTTTGAGGTTTTTTCAAAATTTTTGTGAGTTTCCAAAAGGGTTTGGAACTCGGGTCTAATTTAGAAATATTATTTTCAAAAGTTTTGTTCCTCAGGGCAGAGAATCGCTTTTTAATTTGTTTTTGCAAATCCCGCCAGATAACTTTCATGGCAGGATCGCGTGTTCTTTGATATTGTCTCCTACGGACATTTTTAAGACGGATCAAGAGCTGAAGATCATCGTCTATTATAATTGAATCGAATTTAACCTCGCATTTTGGTACTGAGGCAGCTCTTGCTTCAACTATAGAAGTAGTCAGAGATTCAAGAGCATAATTAATTTCATCTTTGGTTTGCAAAGGAATGTTTGGATCGAAGTTATATTCCATAAATGTTCGATACTGCTCCCAATCAGCTCTATGGTAATTGAAAGTAGAGCTGTTGGGATTACAAATTATTTCTTGGGATATTTCAAAAGTTACTGGAAGGTGATCAGAACCGAAGTCAGCATGGGTAACCAATTGGCTACAAAGTTGACATGAATCAGTTAAGACCAAATCAATAGTGGAGGGATTTTTTGTAGAAGAAAAGCATGTTGGGCTGTTTGGATATTGAATAGTGTAATAACCTGCAGAACAATCATCAAACAGAATATTACCATTGGAATTGCTTTGCGCATTATTCCATGAGCGGTGTTTTGCATTAAAATCACCAATAATGAAGAATTTAGACCTATGACGGGTAAGTTTCTGGAGGTCACCCTTGAGAAAATTCTTTTGCTGGCCTACGCATTGGAATGGCAAATAGGCATAAACGTAAGTTGTCCAAATTTTGTTTCAACAGAAACTCCCAAAGTTTCAAAAACTTTGGTTTCAAATGAAGAAAGAATTTTATGTTTGATTCGTCTATGAATAATGATGGCAACGCCACCACAGGGTCCATCAAGACGATCATTTCTATAAATCAAGTAATTTGCGTCCTTCTTAACCTTATGGGCAGGTTTAAGGAACGTTTCAGTTATAACGGCAATATGCACGTTATGAACTCTTAAAAAGTTAAATAGCTCGTCTTCATTATCTTTAAGAGATCGAGCATTCCAATTTACAATATTTAATGCTTTAAAATCCATTACTGAATTTTAAAGTCATGACAATATTATTTGCAAATTTTACTCCAGTTTGAATAGCATCAAACATGGAGTTAGATTTAAGCATATCAGAAATCATGTCAATTAATGAATTCTGTAAAAATTCCATTTTGGGGGCAGTAATGCTTCCTAAGTCAAAATTTCCGTTAGAACGTTGGTTAGTATTTTGATTTCTACCCGCTGCAATAGCAGCATAGGTAGCTCCATTAACTCGCTGAAC